TTGTCGCTAGGCCCTGTTGCCCCGTCTAAGTAACATTGCTGAGATTCTAAGCAACATTCCAAGTAGCATTGTCACTAAGACCTGTTGCCCCCTCTAAGTAACATTGCTGAGTTTCTATAAGTCACATTCTAAGTAGCATTCTCGCTGTGCCCTGCTGCCCCCTCTAAGTAACATTGCTCCGTTTCTAAGTAACATTCTAAGTAGCATTGTCGCTGGGCCCTGCTGCCCCCTCTAAGTAACATTACCGAGTTTCTAAGTAACATTCGCTAGGAGCTGCTGCCCCCACTAAGTAACATTGCTCAGTTTCTAAGTAACATTCTAAGTAGCATTGTCGCTGGGCCCTGCTGCCCCCTCTAAGTAACATTGCTGAGTTTTCGAAATATCGTCCCAGGCCCAGGGCGGCCAAAGAGGAGGAGGAGGAGGAGGAGGAGGAAAGGCCTCCGTCCGTGGAGGTGGAGGCCATCAGCAGGCCGGTATTGGGTTGTGGCCATGAGCAAACTCCCCAAGAACCTCTTTGCACTCTTGGATTTGAGGGACTCCTCACGATTTCCCGGCCTCTAGAAGACCAAGTACTAATCGCCTGCGAGGATCACTCGTCCTCGCGATCCTCGCCGGCGATCTCCGCCAAGCACTCTGGGTTCCAGGCAGCAATACATCCCAGGTTTAGACAGGAAGCCAGCCTGATTTGAGAATAAAGACAGCCGCGGGGTTCTACAATAAAATGCCGCAGCTCAGGAGCCGGTGCCTTCTGAGAAGCGGCGAAGGAGCTTGCCCCAGCCGCCGGGGGAGAAGCGGCCGCAGTGAGATCGCGGTCGGTGCAAACAGGCGGCAGCGAGTTCTTTCAGAGTCGGGAATTTCTAAAGGTTTGAAACCTGAAGGCCTCCAGCCTAAATCCTCTTGCCCTAAACCCCGAACCCTGAAGCCTCAAGCCTAAACCCAAATCGAGAACACCGAACCCAATACCCTGAACCCTAAACCCAGACTCCGTCTCTAAGTAACATGGACCAGGTAACATGATAGCAGAGTGTGGGTTCTTCAGTGTTTCTTCCACAGTCTTGAGTCGGGAATAACAATGATTCCGTGGGTTCATGCATATAGCTTGCAAACTAAGCAGAGGGCAGAATATGCGTAAACCGTGTGTGTCCTACATCGTAAGTAACATTGTCTCTTTGAGGGTCCCAGTGCCGAAGTAGCATGAACAGGAACCACTCCAGGCCCAGGAGCTGCTAAGTAACATGGACAGCAATAGACCCCCCCCCAAGCGGCTACGTAACATGTTTCTTTTCGGACCTGCTAAGTATCGAGGACACAAAGCCCCAGCTAAAGGCAAGAGCCGCTAAGTAACATGGACACCAAGTCCCCCAGCAGAAGCGGCTACGTAACATGTTTCTGTTGGGCTTCTGGAATATTTCTGTTTGTTTAACTTACGAAGCCACTTTCACAGTCGCATTCGAAGACACATGTGTTCAGGCTCTGCTTGCCTTAAAAGCGAAACCCTGAAACCCATCCCCCAAAACCTAAGCCAGCAACCGCACTCTGCACCCTGGACTACAATCATAAGCACACTGCAGTAGATGCTAAGTAACATTGTCAGATAGGGTCACGAGCTGCTAAGTAACATTGAAAGACATTGTCGGGTAGGGTCAGGAGCTGCTAAGTAACATTCACATATGCCACCCCACCCCCGCCCCCCCCAAAAAAAAGCGCCGCGAGCTGCTAAGTATCATTGACAGAAGCCCCCTCCCCCCTAGGGCCACGAGCTGCTAAGTAACATTGACACAAACCCCCCACTCCGCCCCCACTTAGGAACAGTGACACCAAGCCCCCCCAACGGTTACGTAACATCCCTCTGTTGCACTAAAACAGAACAAGAAGTGATGTACTCATTCCATCGAGATAGGAGTTTTCTCGTTTTGCAGAAAGCATGAAAACCGCCGGCAGGCACAGACCAAAGCAGGAAAACCCAAGCCCAACACGAGCCGAACCAGCACAAAAATTAAACAAAATAACACCATTACAGGGAGTCGTCGGGAGTCGTCGGGTACCACCTCCCCTGGGTTTCACGTGAATGAGACGAGTCCAACGGCAGAGTCAAGCCGTTGGACTCACCTGTGCCAGACCGACGACATCACATCCCCAAAACACCAAACCGACACAAAAGTGACACAAAACTGACACTAAAGTGACACAAAACTGACACTAAACTGACACTAAACTAACAGTTCAAAGGCAAAACTAACACAAAACTAACACAACCGATATGTACTATTGTTAGTTTGGTAAAACTAACCCATGGAATTGTTACTTTAGTGTTACTTTTGCTGTGGGAGTGTTACTTTAGTGTCACTTTAGTGTCACTTTAGTGTCACTTTAGTGTCACTTTAGTGTCACTTTTGTGTCACTTTTGTGTGAGTTTGCTATCCCTGGAGCTTTTTCTGTGCTGTTTTCTTCCTGCTGCCCTTGATTCGTCTGGTTTCCGGCCTGTGATTTCTGGTGTTTCGAAACCGATCCGAGGACTTTCGCCTGGAAAAGAGAACTGTGCATCAGAGTTTTCCAATAATCTGGAATATCGTGCTCAAAACCATAACTAGGTGAAATCTTGCTTCGGCTTTCGAGCTATGGTGCTGAATACAAAACTAGGTAACATGCTCCTGTCAACATAGGCAGCTTGCTGCTGGCCCGACAAGAGGCAACATGGTCTCTAATGTTTCTAAGTAACAGTGCACGAGGAAACTTAGTCTTAAGTAACAGTGTGCAGGCAAACCTAGGTAACATGTTACTTAGAGAGCTGTGTATGTAACATGTACTGCTGTTGTCTAGTTCCACCCGTTGTGGTCGTTGACAAATCTGCACCCCGATCCGTGCTCGAATTCAAAAAGGCTAGTGGTGATTGGGAGTATGAAGTCCCGGGCACATGTCGTGACATGCTAAAACACCAGATTTTCATGCATGATGAGAAGAAGACTTTCCGAGAAGACTGATCCAGCCATGGCTGTTAAGGGTAGTGGTTCCCTGAAGAGAAAGGCAGCTCAGCTTGACCTCGACGGCGAACCGTTGACGGAAGCAGAGGCCGCCCCAGAACAGGAGCAGGAGGCACAGGAGAAGGAGGAGCAGAAGAGCCCCAAGCCAAAGAGCCCAGCCAAGCCCAAGAGCAAGAGCAAGCCGAGCAAGCCGCAGACCTCCCCCAAAGCAAAGGCGAAGGCAAAGGCCAAAGCAAAAGCAAAAGCCGAGAGCAAGCCCCCAGCAAAAACACCCAAGGCCAAGAGCACAGCCAAAGCTACCCCCCAGCCGAAGGCCAAGAAAACTAAGCCGGGGAAGCAGCTCAAGGAGGGGGACAACAACAACAAGAACGTGACCAGACAGGAAAGCTTCGCTGACAAGGCTTTGCAGTGGAAGCTTGCAGCCGAGGACAAAGCCGAGGCCCAGGAGAAGCCTAAGGAGGAGCTTGAGGCAGAGGAGCAGGACGGCGACGAGGAGGACGACCAGGGCGGCGAAAAGAGGGACCTCGCCAAGGCCAGGAAATTCAAGAGAATGTCCGATGCCGGTGCAATCCCGGATCACATTCAGGAGGTTCTGAGCAAAGCGAAGACCCGTGCTGCCAAGACGGAGCTGATCAACGAGCTGTTCGACAAGAACGACAAAGGCAAGCTGATCATGAAATCCGACAAGCCCGTGTTCGAGACCACGAAGCAGGCCAAGCATCAGAAGTTTGGTCGAGATGAAACCATGGGGGCACCAAAGGATGTGCTTTTGCACCGGGACTACCATGGCGATGAAAAGGCTTTGGATGCTTCCATTGCAAGGGGCACGGTGATGGTGTGGCTGCAGGATGGGGTAGAGTTCGCGGGCTATCGGCAAACCGTTGCCGGGATTGGCAAGACGGTGGAGGACAAGCACCAAGCGAAGAGTGGTGCCAAGGAGATCACCGACGAGACCTTTCAGGCCCTCGACAAGGCCTTCCGAGGCATGACCTTTTCGTTTGATCAAGATGACCAGCCCCGCCAGGCTATCGCAGCAGAGGCAGCAAGCTCGAAGGAGCCCCCCGTCCTCAAGCAGTTCGCGGAGTCCCAGCAAGCTTTGCTGGAGGAGGCCAAAGGAGCGATGGAGCGGCTTCATAGTGCTGCTATGAGGATGATTTCAAAATGCTCGCAAGCGAAGGACAAGGAGAGCTTCAAGCCGCACATGCTTGCTATGAAATCATGGATGGACAGGGACGACCACCTGTTGCTATGGAAAGAGTTCCCAGACTCAGAGCGGCCCCTCACCGCTGCAACCTTCAAGGACTACATGTGTGAGCATTCCGAAACGGCGGTTTCCTTGAACGAGGAGTGCGAGAAATTCAAAGCCCTTTTGAAAGCAAGGAAGGAGCTGTGATTCCATCCCGAGTCTTGCTCATCATGTGCACTTTGATATGAAGAGAAACGTGCTAAGTAACATACTCGGTACTAGGTTTCATTCCGGTTATCAATTGTTTTCTAGCAACTAAGTAACAATGTTGTTGTTCAGCATTGGCACCCTGGCCATGAAGACATGTTGTCGGCGAGACACGTAGCCATGTCTGTAGTTTTGCTTCTGTTGCAGCAAATCCTTTGCTATAGATGCCACGGTTTTCGGGTTCACTAAGATGTTAATAACATAGAGGGTTTCACATTGGAGGTTCGGGGTGCCCGTTTGTGGATGTTCTAGAGGGGTATGGTTTATGACAGTTTATGATACCATTTTGGGATCGAAGGGTTTGCTCTGTGGCCCTGGCATTGGAGCTGTGCTGCGATAGTTTTCTTAGCATCCTCAGAAGCTGCCGGGCAGCCTGGGGTATAGAAGCCTCGAGTTCCGGGGGTGTGGTGTGTGCAACGTTTCATAGTGGCATAGCACAAGGCTTGTTATTTGCAGCTGATGTTCTCGCCCACAGGCCCTCTTGTCATATGAACAGCACAAACTGGAGTCCGAATTTCCGAGAACATCGTGTTGCGGGGGTCCAAGTTTTGTGGGCTCTGTGAAACATGTGCCGCTTCACCTGGTTGCACCATTGGCAGCAAGATCCGAAAACAATGTATGCTGCTGGGTTGCTGCTCAGCAGTGTTATGTTGGTTGGGGTTTCTGAGCGCTCAGGGTTTCAGTGTGCATACATAAAAAATGTGGTTGAGGTTTTATTTGTGTTCCTAGAGTCAAAACCTCTGTCTATGCCCCCCCGGCCTGACAGTCCCAGCGAAACCCCGCTGGAGCCCAACACTTGATTCTAAGTAACATTGTGTCTGCATGCATAAAAATTGTTGTTGAGGTATGCTTCGTGCTCTTAGAGTCAAAACAGACCTCTGTGTATGCCCCCGGCATCAAAGTCCCAATCAACATTTGCTGAAGCCCAACACTTTATTCTAAGTAACATTGTGTGTGCATGCATAAAAATTGTTGTTGAGGTATGCTTCGTGCTCGTAGAGTCAAAACCTGTGTGTATGCCCCCGGCATCAAAGTCCCAGTCAAAATTTGCTGAAGCCCAACACATAATTCTAAGTAACATTGTGAGCATGCATAAAAATTGTTGTTGAGGTATGCTTCGTGTTCCTAAAGTGAAAACCTCTGTGTATGCCCCCGGCATCAAAGTCCCAATCAACATTTGCTGAAGCCCAACACTTTATTCTAAGTAACATTGTGTGTGCATGCATAAAAATTGTTGTTGAGGTATGCTTCGTGCTCGTAGAGTCAAAACCTGTGTGTATGCCCCCGGCATCAAAGTCCCAGTCAAAATTTGCTGAAGCCCAACACAATTCTAAGTAACATTGTGAGCATGCATAAAAATTGTTGTTGAGGTATGCTTCGTGTTCCTAAAGTGAAAACCTCTGTGTATGCCCCCGGCATCAAAGTCCCAGTCAAAATTTGCTGAAGCCCAACACATAATTCTAAGTAACATTGTGAGCATGCATAAAAATTGTTGTTGAGGTATGCTTCGTGTTCCTAAAGTGAAAACCTCTGTGTATGCCCCCGGCATCAAAGTCCCAGTCAAACCCCGCTGAAGCCCAACACATAATTCTAAGTAACATTGTGAGCATGCCTAAAAATTGTTGTTGAGGTATGCTTCGTATTCCTAAAGTGAAAACCTCTGTGTATGCCCCCGGCATCAAAGTCCCAGTCAAACCCCGCTGAAGCCCAACACATAATCTAAGTAACATGCTGTGCATGCATAAATCTTGTTGTTGAGGTTTGCTTGGTGTTGCTACTCACAAAACCTTTTAGTATGCCCCCGGCATCAGAGTCCCACTCAAACCCAGCTGAAGGTCAACTCAGAATTCTAAGTAACATTGTGTGCATACATTCGGTTGAGGTTTGCTCGGTGGTCCTAGTCACACAACCTTTTAGTATGCCCCCCTCATCAAAGTCCCAGTCTAAGCCCGCTGAAGCCCAACACATAATTCTGTGCGGTGCCTCAGAAAATGACCCATCGAGTTGTGTGTTGATGTCGATAATCACAAAACCTTTTTGTATGCCGTCGTCGCAGCTTCGCTTGTGGCAAGAGAATAGAACACTGCTGTCCCAATGTTACTTAGATGGCACACATGATTAAATATGTGCTGACACATGTTACTTAAAGTTGATCTATTGTCACAGGAAAGATCTAGTGTTTGGATTCTGGTGCCATACAGCTACTTAGAGCACATGCTACCTAATTTTGATTGATGCCATACCGCATGTTGCCTAGATTTCTTCGATGTCACATGTTACCTAAAGCATATGTTACCTAGATTTCTTCGATGCCAGATGTTACCTAAAGCACATGTTACCTAGATTTCCTTGATACCACATGCTACCTAGAGCACATGTTACCTAGGGCAGGCCGTGAAAACAACATGCCATTATATATTTCTAAGCCACAGGAAGCCTCGGTAGAATCTGTGCGGTGCCGGAATGGCAGAGGAGCCCCCTCCAAAGCGGTTGAGGCGAGGTGGAGTGCAGCAGAGGATCCAAAAAGTTGAAGCCAGAAATGATGCAGCTCCTGTTGCGAGCAATCTGGCACATGAGCTGTTGGAGCGATGGTCGTGGGGCGAAGTGAGCCCTCAGGTGGTCCAAAAGCTGGCAGCTGCCTCCCAAAGGGACTTTCAAGCTGTCGGAGCGACACCGCCCAGCGAAGTCGCTGCTTTAGCTGGCTTGGGATCTGCTGGTCTGTATCCGAATAATATGCACAAGGAGATTCTGAAAATCGCCAACAAGAACAATGCTTTTTCGAAGCCCTTCGCTGTCAAAATGAACCTCAGGGATACTTAGAACCTTTTGTTTTTGTAGTTTGCTGGGTATAGTATCTCTAAGCCCTGAGAAAGAAATCCAAATTATAATTCCTGCCAGGGTTTCCCCATCTTCCAGCCAGGAGCTTCAAGCCACCCTGGGACAAACTGCTTCAGACGATGCTTCTTCCACATGTGGTATTTTCTGATCTTTACCACTCTTACCCAGCCGCCTTTGCAAAGTTCATGATGCCTTCTGGAGGTATTCAGAAACTTAAAGAATTCTGGCGCCTTCAGAAGGCGGGTCATCCCGCTTGGCGAAACCACCCGATCGTCAGCAAGAAGTCCTTCGATGCCGAGCATACCCTGCCTTTACAGCTACACGGGGACGGCACCCCTGTGGTGGGGATAGGGAAAATCTGGAGCAGGCAGCTGACCTCGTACACGTGGAACAGCCTTCTGGCAGAGGGGTGGACAAAGGACAGTATGATGCCATCGTGGTTTTGCTTCGATGAGACCGAGGCTGGAAAAGAAACGACAGATGAATTTTTCCGAATCATCTGTTGGTCGTTTGCCTGCCTTGCCAGTGGAGTCTGGCCAGCAGCCAACCACTTGGGTGCAAAGCAACTGTGCAAGTCCACTCATTCAAGCTTTTGCTGTCCGTTTTGGTTTCTGTCTATACACATTATAACGTGTTTCCTAAGTCTTCAAGGATTGAGGGGTGAAGCTCTGTGATAAACCCTGTTTGCAGATAGAATTCGTGGAATCAATTTTGGTTCCATTCCCAAGTTGCAGACCCTACTACCCCAGAACATGTGCCAGCAAAATAGGGCCCTTACATAGTTTCATTGACTTTTCTTTTCGGAGGTCACTCCTATTCTTTTAAAGACAAACAACCAGCAACGATTGTCGCCAGGCAGTCCTAAAGTCCCAGAGAAAAAAACTTCGAGGTATCCCGCCGGTACCGTGGAAGCCCGTCGAGCCGGGACGCCGCTGGCGAATGGACTGCGAGGCATCATCTGGAGTTTGAATGGCGATGCCGAATATTTGGTGCAAAAGCTGCAGTTGCCGCATTACGGATCGAAAGCATCCCCGTGTGCCCTTTGCAAGTGCAGAGGCGACAATTCCGATTCGAGCTGGCATGATTGCCGAACAAGTGCTCGGTGGCTCACGTTGGGATGGACAAGGGAATCATGGTTGGCATACCCGGAGCGATCATCGAGCACCATCTTCTCCAATGCCACTGGTCTCACCCCATTGAACGTGCACTACGATTACATGCACTGCAAGTACTTGGGGGCAGATCAGATCAGCTTCGGGTCGGTCCTTGATTTGTTGGTGAGTCACCTCATGGCAGACTCACCACTAACAAATCTGGGACAATGCTGGGACAAAATCGTTACCTCGTACAAGAGACTGGGAATCTCCGAGAGGTATAGAGGCTTCCGCAAGCTCACGATGTTCCAGAGGAAAAAAAATGCCCCAAGCTGAAAGGCAGGGCGGGCCAGATTGCTGCTTTTGGCGAGCCCCTGTTGGAACTTTGGGAGGAGCACATGCATCCTGATCTTGCTGTGCACTGCAAGATCAGGACGTACTTGCGACTGAACATCGCCATGGAGAAGATCATGAAGGAGTGCCGAGCCGAGACTGCTTTCCCGGAGCCCCAGGCGACCAACTTCATCGAATATGCCTTCGCTATGTGCAATCTTCATATGGAGTTGGGGGCACACTTCGAGGCCGAAGGCCTCAAGCTTTTCAGCCCTTTACCCAAGCTGCATCTGCTTTTGCACACGGTTTTGCTTTGCCGCCACATCAACCCGAGACTCACTTGGTGCTACAAAGGCGAGGACCTTCAAAAGGTCAGCAGGAGTTTGGCCGCCAGCTGTGCCCGAGGACTCAGAGGACCGGCGGTGACGGTGAAAATGGTGAGCAAGCTCAGGGCGGCTTGGAACCTGAGGCTGAGCAAAGTCTCTGCAGACTGAGAAGCTCGGGGCGCACCTGAGACTGAGCAGAGACCGAGTGTGAAAAAAATCTTCTGCTGCCGCCGCCAGTTCAGTTCAGGCAAGAAGGGAAGCAGCTGTCCCAGCACCATGAAACATGATCGCTACGTAACATTCTTTAAGTAACATGTGTGCTCTATAAGTAACATGTTCTGGTCTGACGACCAAGGAAAAAAGCTGTCTAAGTAGCATGTGGAACATGATCCCTAGGTAACATTCTCTAAGTAACATGTGCTCGTTTGGAAAAACAAGTTTGGCCTGCTCCTGCTTTTCCCAAGGTTTTCAAGTTTTCGGCAACAAAATTTCAATGCCATCTGACAAATAACCTTCGGTTATTTTGGTAAATAGACTCGAATTTGCTAGGTTATTTAATCAAATAGACTATATCCTATTTTCTAAATAAACTATTTTCAAGGTTATTCAAAATAGGATAATAGTCAAAAGATAACCTACAAACCCCAAATAAGATAATAGTTAGGAAATAACCTAACCGAATCTAAGAGGTAGTCCATTTGCCACGGCAGACAGCAGAGTAGCGGGAGCCGTGTTTGCGGCCTTTTCATTCTACGAAATCTTCAGAAACTGGGCTCCCAGCGTCTGTCTTCCCGAGTGCTGAAAGTAAACTGAGTGGACACCGATTGGATCCTGTGCCAGGAAGTGGTTTGGGGCTTGCGACAGCTTCCCGACAAGCCGCTGCAGCCTCCTGGGCCAAACGGATCCCGCCGCGAGCACTCTGATGATGAAGGGCTCAACATGCATCCTCGAAGGACGCGGTAGCCCGGTCTCCTTCTGCTGACCCTGCTTTGCTGCAGCACGTTCAGTTTCCGATGCCAGCACCTGTGGAAAGCAAATGGCATATCGATTTATAACTGATCATTTCAACATTGCAGCTGCGACTCTCTAAATTTGCCACAGGCCTGCATCGTGCGATGGTTGAATTCTGTCCAGTACGAGACTATGCACCATGTACAGCAGCACACAAATGCGCCCTTTTCCTAGCTCCGTTCTGCCGCAAGCAGTTGCCCAGAGCCCTTGTACAGCTGCGCACAGCAACCTGTTGATGACTGCTGGGTCATGAACATCTCCTTTTGCCTACATTTTGCCAGTCTTTTGTCTTGCTTCTTGTGTCATGCGCCGTGGTGCAGGCCACTTGCATTGGCATAGGCTCCGATGAGGAGTACGACCCTTATCTGGACAGTGACAAGGCACTCTAATTGTGTTGAGCACCGGTTCTGCCATGTCAAAACCTGCATGCGGGCGCCGCGTCTGTTCCCTCAAATGAGTTCCGGTGGTCCTCTAGCATCTGTCCGCTGTTCTGGCTGTTCTGTGGCTGCAGGCGGTTCCAGCTGGGATGGTCGCCGTGGACCTTCTTGACCGAGTCTGGTGCCCGCGCCGACAGCAAACCATGGAAAAATAGCTATGATTTGGGAACCTGAGGTGGAGCAAATCGAGTCGACGCCCGAAACGAGGAGCTCTCCGCAGGAGGGGTTAGGGCTGCGCCTGTGTTGCCTAAGTTTGGACCCAACCTATCTGGCCAGGCACGTCGTGGCTATCCGGCAACAACGCCTCTGTCCCACTCTCCTTCGCCGGACGAGGGCCGCCTGAGTCAGGTTCGTGGCTCAGTTCAGACGCAAAGAGGACAGATTGTACGTGCCCTTGCAGTCCCAGACTTAGGCCGTGGCGCTGCAAGAGCTAGAACAGCAATTTTGGGCTGAATTCCAGGATCCCTCCTCCGGCGTGGTATTTTCGTCTCACAAGCAAAAAGACCAGGCTACTTTCGTCTGCCATGGTTTCATGTGCATGCGAAGAATCTATGCGCTGGTCTTGACAGGTTCTATACAAGCCGAGAGCAAGGCGGCCACGGAGCCGGTTCAGGCGTTGCTAGTGTTCCACAGAACATGTGTTGCCGTATGTCGATCGTGGTTTGTGGCCTTCGCTGCACAATCCGCAGGAGCCAGATCCGAAGTGCAAAGCTGTAGCCAAACGGCGTTCCCAGGCCAAGCTGCCGTTTTTTGTTCAGACTCGGGTTTTGTAATTCCTGTTGCTGCTAGGTTGCGTCTGCGTCTGCGAAGCGGAAGGCTGCAAGGGAGCCGAAGCCGAGACTCACAGAGGCCGATGTCCTTTGTGAGCATTTCGTGAGCACAGTTCGTTGAAGAGACCGCCTGTTGCTTGCAGGCTGTGTCTCCAAAGCGTCGCGAGCCGAAGCCGAGAGCGACCAAGGCTCATGTCCTGGCGCGATTCTGGAGTGGTGTTTGTTCTAAGCTCGGCAAAAAAAGGGCTTCTTCTTGCAGGCTGCGTCTCCAAAGCGGAAAGTTGCAGGGCCGAAATCCACAGCGACAGAGGCCGAGCTACGTTGCGGGAACCCGGCTTTGGAGCTTTAAACTCCTTCAAAAGACGACTCGCTGTTGCTTTCAGGCTGCGTCTAGAAGGACTGCAAGCGAGCCGATGTCTAGCACGAGAGAGGCCGTTTTGGAGCAGTTCGTACTTGTTCAAAAGACGCCTTCAGTCCTGTTGCTGCCAGGCTGCGTCTAGAAGGCGGAATGCAAGCGAGCCGAAGTCCAGCATGAGAGAGGCCGTTTTTGGAGCATCTCGTGCTTTTTAACGTCGCTCAACAGAGAGCTCCCTTCAGTCCTGATGCTGCTAGGCTGTGTCTGCAAAGCCGAAGGTTGCAAACGAGCCAAAGCCGAGACAGGCCGATCACCACTACTGGTGGAGCAGCTCACGTTGAAAAGAGGGCTCCCTCGAGTCTTGTTGCTGCCAGGCTGCATCTGCAAAGCGGCCTGCAAGCGAGTTGAAGCCCAGCGCGAGAGAGGCCGATGTCCGTTGTGGAAGCCCCGCTTTTGAGCAGCTCGTGCGCTAAACTCGTTCAAAAGGGAGTTCTCTTAAGTCCTGTTGCTGCCAGGCTGCGTCTCGAAAGCGGGCTGCGTGCGAGCCGAACCCCAGTGCGATAGAGGCTGGGGTCCGCTGCATATACCATTGCCCACAGGTCGCTGCGCTCAGCAACTTGCCCCCAATTGTCATAAACGACCCAAGCCGCTAGGTCAGTAACTCTGCAGTGCCTATCGTCCACAATGACGTTTGCTTTTACTTGGTTTCATGAGTGGGTAGAGTTTCTGCCCAAAGCTGTTCTCCGTCCTGGAGGGAGGGAAAACACATGCGTGCGTGCAAACAAAAGAGAGGGAAGACCATCGCAGCGAGCTCGCATGGCGACTTGATTGCATGGGGGGAACAGGTTGGGGGTTGGTCGTGGTGTCGCAAGCCTCGCTCTCTCACGCCGTGTGTGTTGGCGGTGGATTTGAATCTGCTGCGAGAATGTGTCTTTGGTTTGCTCCCGGATGGATATCGTGCACGGAGTTTGTAATCGTTGTTTTTGGCTGTATTTGTTTCCCATTTTCTTTGTACACGTGGAGCGGCCGTGGGTCTGGGTTGATCAGCAGGCTGGTTGTACACTTTGGTAACCTCGTGCATGCATGTGCTTCTGTAGCGGTAACACATACCGGCCGCCGGCCTTGCCCCGAATCGTTTTTTGACAAAAAGCTGGGCCCAAGAGATGAAGCAGTCGGTTTGATACTGTTTTTGTGCAAATAGTCAGTTTTTCTTGTGAATTTGTTCTTTTTCGGTCAAAACTTGTATTTTCTGTTCGTTTTTGTGCGAAGACGGCTGGGAGGTGGCTCGGAGGTGGCTCGGACGTGGTTCGGAGGTGGCTCGGGGGTGGTTCGGGGGTGGCTCGGAGGTGGTTCGGAGGTGGCTCGGGGGTGGTTCGGGGGTGGCTCGGAGGTGGTTCGGAGGTGGTTCGGGGGTGGTTTGGGGGTGGCTCGGGGTGTTTTCTTTCGATTTTGGTGAGTATTTCCGCAAATCTGTTCAAAAGTATGCAAAATTATACAAAATGCTGCAAATTTTGGTAGCAAAGCGCGAACGTCTGCGTGCGTTGGTGTGCGTGTGGTTTTCTGGCTCCGAGGGTTGCGATCTCGTCGTGGTTTTAAGTCTGGGGGTTTAGGATGTAGGGTTTAGGGTGCAGGGCGGATCCAGTCGCTTAGTGCTACACAGGCGCGCTTGTTTTTCGGTTGTGAAAACAGTGTTTCTTTCCTCCGGCCCTTTGTGGTATCAGGGACTCTGCGAAGCTTGACTGAACTGCCACCGTGACGCTTTCCAACGGTCCTACGTTCTGAACCGTGTTCGAAGCAAAAGTCTATACCAGATGCAGGCTTTTATTTCAATATTGATTGCATTTGTCATTTCTGACACAAAACGTTTTGAACTATTTGTGTTAAAAGATGTTTGTCTGAAACAACATGAAAAGATTCCTGGTGGTCTGCTTGTACGCTTAATGTTCCGCTCGACCTGGGGCTGAATTTGCTTCGAACTGTGCTGCATTTGTCACTCCCAGGGATTGGGATTGCCCCCAACCCAGCACGGTGTGGCATCTGAGTGATGTTGCACGACAGGTGACGAGTACTGTATGGCAGGCCCAGAGGCTCCCCTTACCGGCCCAAACCGACATGCCGCACGGGACACTGGGCAATCCCACACCGCTGCAGCTCTAAACTCGTTCAAAAGAGCGCTCCCATCAGTCCTGTTGCAGCCAGGCTCCGTCTGGAAAGCGGAAAGCTGCAGGGGAGCCGAAACCCAGAGCGACAGAGGCCGAGCTTCGTTGTGGGAGCCCGGTTTTGGAGCAGCTCGTGCTTTCAGCTCGTCGAAAAGAGGGCTCTGCTTGCAGGCTGAGTCTGCAAAGAGGAATGTTGGAAAGGAACCAAAGCCGAGACAGGCCGCTGCGGGAACCCGGTTTATGAGCAGCTCATGCTCTAAACTCGTTGAAAATAGGGCTCTCCATTCTTGTTGCTGCCAGGCTGCATCTGCAAAGCGGGCTGCAAGCGAGCCGAAGCTCGGCGCGACACAGGCCGAGGTCCATTGTGGAAGCCCCGTTTTGGAGCAGCTCGTGCTTTAAACTCGTTCAAAAGAGGGCTCGCTTCAGTGTTTGTGCT